GGCACTCTTCTTTTTTTGGTCCCCACCCAGGCAGACGTGTGGATCCAATGGCAGCAAGACATAAAGTCAACGATTTCATATGTTGTCGCCAGGTGGACGGCGGACCACCACCTGGTTTTTTTCCAGCCAAATCCTCCACGAGCGAAAAGAGCGCACTAGAGCAAACGTTCAGATATCATGCGCAGGATGTGACCGCGCCATCTTGTGACGCAGCAAAATCAGTTTGTCTTAGGGAACACTCGCATTCCCTAAGACGCGACGTCTGACTTCACGGTTGCAGATGCTTTGCTGCCACCATACACGAGTAATCCTCCTCAAGCACCCGTTGTCGAAGGCCTAGAGCTAACCCATGTCGTCTACGCTAACTAGACTTGACTCGCTTCCATATAGTAACCCTGCCCTAACAGTGGCATTGTAAACACGTTCCTTTACCACGAGGGAGACACCCGGACGACGCCACAAATGTTTTATTGACAAGCGCCGAGCGAGCTTTGGCGATGCGAAGAGAAACTTCTTCTCTAATGGTACCATCAGCAGACACACAGCTGCCTAGGTAGACAAAGCTATCTACCTGTTGAAGCTGTGTACCTTCAATAGTGTACACGGGGACGGGCGAGTACCAATCCTGAAGCAGCATTTACAGTTGAGGGTTCGCATGCTCTATGAGTCATCACAAAGTAGGGCGATATCATCGACATAATCTAAGTCAGTTGCTAGCTTGCCAGGTAGTAACTGTCGACCAAAAGTTTGGCAACCTTCTAATGCTGTTGACAAGACGTCTTCAATTGCAAAATTGAAGAGGAACGGGCACATAGTGCAGTGAGAACGAAGCGGGGGAGGTGGAGCAGAGCGTGAATTGCCAAACAATGAGCAATTAACAACTCACATACGCGTGCAGATATAGATCGTGTTTCCTTCCGCAACGCGGATGAGATTTTGTGTGGCGGGTCATTCCATGTACCCACGAGTTTGAGCTTCGGAACAACCCCTTCAGGTTTTAATCCCGTATCTCCGCTTCGCTATATTCGATCTTGGTCAGCCATGAGACATTCGAAAACTCTCGATTTGCTCACCCGTAGCTGCAGCAGTCGGACCGCGTTCAGTCTTGTGGGCTTCGCTAGCGCCGTATCTGTCTGATTCCTTGCGTTCTCAACAAATACCTCCGCCGTTGTTCTGGGCCCAGGCTCGTTTATCAAATGAAGCTCGTGATCCGTTGTCACCTCGGTCCGCAAGGCTAGCAGTGCCTTGTTTCGTCCATTGCACCAGTTGGTATTTCTCTACTATCCCGTTGTCGTTATGTTTTTGGTTCACTAGTAGTCACAATCTTCCACCGCCCTACAATAGGGCAGCTCCGTCGCTCACCGCTATTGAGAGCGAAGGAAGGCAAAAGCCTGACATAGACCCTCACCCTGCCGGAAGTATGTAGGTAGAGTGCAAGCAGGATGGTACTGTATGTTTATGGAATCCCGTTTCTTAGCAAACAATGCCATAGCGCAGTTCGATCAACCGAGTCGAATGCAATGAAGGTAGGTCACCGGTAAAGGTGGCGATGTTCCGGCATTTGGTGGTGCGTGAATATTTGATCCACACACCCGCGGCCAGGTCGAAAAGCAGCTTGTTCTTCGCGGTACTTCGATTCAAGAATGGGGGATAGTCTACGTAGTAGAATGGATGCCAATCGCTTGGAAGCAACCGACATGCGACTAATCCCCCAGCCATTGATGTATGAAGTACGAACACCCACTTAAAAATTGGGACAATAACTGACTCACCCCAGGAAGAAGGCAACTTTTCTTCAAGTCACCTTTTGGATAACAATAAATTTAGCTGGTTAATGAAAACTGCGCCTCCATCTTTAAACAGCTCTGGAGGAAGTCAGTCTATGCACTAAGTACATGTGCTGGGACGGCGTTCCAGGGCTGTGACACTCGGATGGGGAAAACATTCCGTCAACCTTCTATTCGGCTGTACTGCGTGACCAACTTAGATTGATGGCCCATCAGAGATATGTTTCACTGAGTTTCAAAAGATGGTGGCATATGTGGTTAGTGCTTGTTAAGATCTGATACACCATTATGAGATCTTCTTGTGGACGCTGATAGCCTCGCTGTAGATTTTGCGATTTTTCAGCCAGAGTGAGTAGGGAAGGTGGGACAAACCTCTGATCTTCTTCGTCGCCCTGCTTTGTGCAATATCAAGCGCGGTGAGCTGGTGCTTCTGCTAGGGTTGCCACGCTTGGACGGCGTATTACGCATGTGGCCTCACTTATGTGCCAAGCACTGAGGCATCGAACTTTCCGAACGTGCAACCAATGAGGCCGAATTACTGATTTGCTTTCTTTAATACCTTTTCGGTCTGCCTCAAACAACCAAGGTCAGCTTCCATTAGTGGAACTCAAGAAGTAATACTAGAGGGATGGCAGTAGTAGGTGAAAAGGGACTATTAGAGCTGAATGGCATATGAGCGTGTTGCACTTTCAATGACTCCCTGTTCAGGCGTCTGAGACGCCGTGCCTCCTAGGAGTAGAATGGGACAAGAGCATCCGTGCATGCAAGCATGAATCTTGCAGATTTCAGGGAAACGCGGATTTTGAGCTGTTCTCGGAGCTGAGTGATTATTTTGCAGTTTCGTTGCCAGACAAGCCAACATCATCAGTGCGGCTTCAGGGGCCTGGTTCGCAGTGCCTCATACGCGAATTCGAGGTCCAGATGATTATCGATCGAGTTCCACTTTGAATACCAGGCTCCAATGAACTCACATGCTTGCCTGCTTTTGGCTATTTCGAGGATGATGGCGTGGTCCAGGTCAAATTGGGGTTCTCGGTATCCATGTGTACGGACATCTGGGTGTTCGGGTCTTGGCGACGAATGGCTAGGCTGTGTGCGCATAGCATAGTGCCATACTTTTATCCAGTCTGTTCCACGTAGTGGTTGTCACAGTTCTGGCAGCAGATCTTATGTATCGCACCAGTTGTTTCCTCGTTGTTAAGTTTATCTTTCACTTCGAAGTGTTTACTACGAATTGTCACTGTTGGCAGGTGTGCAACTTTGACTCAAAAAGGTTATAAAAGCCTCGCTGCCATTTCAGAAATTCTGTTGATATGAGGCGAAATGGCCCTCTTTTCAACTGTTGCATTTGTCGAGGAGTGTTGTGGAGCCTTTCGTGGCGTGAGGCCGCATAGAATGAAGCCCTTTGGGTACGAGTTCCGCTTGAGCAGACTGATGAGATGGTCTTCTTCCGCCCATCTCAGATGTGGTGTGCTACAATGTGCTCGTGCTGGTTTGAAAAGTATAACCTATTGAGCCCAATTGTTAATATATAATGAACGGGTAATAACTGAAGCAGAACAATAGACATTTACCGAAACTTTCCAGAAGCAGTCCAATTAGGGCAGCGAGGATTGCTGGTGGAGACGAATTTGCTAAAGAACATCCTAAATCGGATACTAAAACATACGGGCTAGCATAGCAGATGTAAGTGAACCAGCATCCTCTTCACAGACTAGCACGTACACTAGGTCCGTAGATGGCATTAGTAGGTAAGCGTGCGCGCGAATTATCACTCCGGTTTCAGCCTAGCTCGCATATTGACGTGACGATTTCGAATATAGAAATACATTTAGCAGTCCACATTGGTATGACCGTAGCGTTTTTGAACCGAGTACTTGTTGAATAAGGCAACCAATCTGAATCAGGACCATAAGTGACATCACCCGATACATTACTCAGGGGTGAGGACGGTTAGCACGGATGCAACATAGTGTCACTAGTGACTACACCGGGTCGAACCAACATTCTGCTGCAGAGTTGTCGTGGAGTGACATGCGACCAGCACCGTCTCGTCACACTGTACAAACCAGTCTATGTGCTTGATCATGCATTCAGTACGCAGTCGCTGCTCAGCACGTGACTCCTTATCTACGCACTTGCAAGATCAGTCTACTGGCAAAGCCGGTACCATACATCCCGCTTACTAAGTAGTCTAGGCTCTGCCACTCAACCCAACAGTGTTACATCTGCCTCTTAGCAACACACCACGGTCAAGCAACCATACCATCAGCAGTTGCGGCCTGTTTCTGGATGTCATTTACCTAGCTAAACGGAAGTAATCATTTATGGTGGTGATAAAAGAAAGGAACGATATCGGCATTTTCCGCGTTCGTGGCCTGTCTCTGCGGTAATTGGCCTTGGTTCGCCATCAAAAGCGTCATCGTATACGTCGAAAATGGAAGCTTCGTCGAAGTTCCTAATCGAATGAGCAGTTTGGATGACCTGACTAACTGCATAATCTGCCTATCAATACTTCACTCTTAGACGAGTGTAAGTGGAAAATCATGTGGTACAAACCTTGAACACCCTTGGGTTGTCGGTGTACGATGGTGGTTACCGGGATGAAACCTCCATGACGCATCCTGTTACTACATCTGCAGCCTATGAAAACAACCTTGGCTTTATTACATAATATATGTAATTGAAAGTGGAGGCAAATAGAGTCTATTCGTTGGTGATGCGATTTGAAATCAGACGGGCAAACTTCTCAATTCTACAGAAGAACGGATCATTTCACAAACCCAGGCGAATTACACATGGCTGCCAATTACCAGATCATGGGAACCGACTGCAGAGAAAATAAAGGCAGCGGAAATTTTGAATCAGTTTTGTTGTCAAACACATAGGTTCCAGGAACATCACGGGACGCAGATGTATTGAAAAGTTGGAAATTTGTTGGCTGTGATAGTATTTAGAGGAAATAAAGAGATTTATGGAACGAATTCGTTCTGTTTGCACTTGCCATATTAGCATTACTCGTCCTACTGTTCTTCGTATATTGTACAGCTACTTGCGTGCATTACCAAAGTAGCTGCCTCGATACCTATGTCGAAGTAACCCCCACTCCCGCATCCAAAACAAATGCCCCTAATGAGAGAAGTCACACGTCGTCAGTCATGTAGTTCAAGAGTCACTAAAATACCAAAAGAGCCTTAAGAAGGACAATCCTAACAGGACAATAGTGTAAAACAGTTTTATCAACTGTTATATAAGGGTTTAAAGAAAAATGTTACAGATGGTTCATCCGGAAAAATGAAGAGCAGAAGTCAAAGGGAGTTGTTTGTAATTGTCCAGGCCTATTAGAGTCCTATGTCTTCATTGTTGCTATTTCATCGCCAATTCATGCGACTGTCGTTTGGCCAGCTGCGGTAGTCTCACCAGCTGCAGTAGTGCCACCGGCCGCCGTGGTAGCACCGGCTGCTGTTGTCTCACCAGCTGCCGTAGTCGCAGCAGCCGCAGTGGTTGCGCCAGTTCCTGCTACAGTGGTAGCCCCGCTCGCTGCAGTAGTCCCCGCAGCTGCACCCTCAGTGGTCATCGGTGTAGAACCTTGCGCACCCGCAGTAGACATAGGCGCCGTCGTCTGCGCAGCCGTAGTCGCGGCCGCTTCCATGGTAGACCCACCGGTGGATGCTGCGGTCGTACCAGCGGTGCCAGCCACGGTGGATGCGGCAGCGGGTGCTACAATCGAACAGAAATGATACTTAGTATCAGAATAGTATTGTGATCAAACGTTGGTGACAGAAGTCAGAAACAGGATACGACTAGGGACAAGGGTTATCGCGTTTCTCTATGCTGACATAGATATCACTGAAGGGCGAATACAAATGATCCCGATTGGTGATCAAAATCTGACAGCACCAAAGGAACCAAGAAGTTACTGTAACCCAACATGCGAATATTAAGCAACCCGTTTAATTTTGGGCATAAATTAGCAGTTCCGGTATTGATGAGACGAACATCAGATTGTAAGGTGGAGTAACATTCATATGTCAGGTAGACAAAAGGAGAGTGAAGTGATTGTAGTTACAAGACTATTGTAGCCATGACGTTGCCGATGAGGGCAGAACTTGCTAAGCAGTCCCAATAGCTATAGGCCGGCGTTCGACTAATCAGAGCATAAATGCCGTTGCAAATCAATGCGCCTGCTAAAGTATAATAGTTATTTAAATGCTAGATAAGAATAAAGATGAGCTTTAGCTAGCAGTGTGTACACAGGCATACGTCTCGCCCAATGTTTTCATTATTAACTGTCTCCTAGCAACACTTCTTATGGTGATCATAGCTGCTACACTTTAGTCGATACGACATGACAGTATGTTTGGAAAAGAAATCAATCACAGTTGCTGCTATGGTTCCTGTAAATCCCTAATGGACAGCCATGTTTATTTCGAAGCAGGTTATCGAAAAGCTTTCTGGTAAAGTGTCAACGGTACATGGTGCATGGAAGTGTGTTCCCCTGAAAAAAATCTACGCAAGTGTAAAAAAATGCCTAGTAGACTGCATGGACTGATGGCATACACCACCGAAGTGTCCTACAAGTCTAACTGTGCACATTTACAAGGAAAGACACTGTCCGATGTGAAACGCAAGGCGTAATATTGTGAACCATGTAAATGGGAGTGATATTTGACGCGGAACCGGCCTAGACACAAATGAGCATTAACCACATTGCTGTGAGCATGGCCAGATTAATTTTACAACCACATAAATGATCTTCGCAGTAAAACAAAAGGGTGAATAACAGTGTTTGCATGTTGTACATAACGGTTTTTCTCTTTTCAGTATAAGCACTTCCAAAAAAGGCAACAATCCGTATACTGTTCAGTAAGCGAACCGACAACTAGCTACAAGAAAAGTGAGAAAATTATGTTGGTCTCAACTCACTGGACCCAGCGGCCGCGGTGGATGCTGCCCAGGTCCCCATGGCACAGCAGGCAAAAAAGGCAATCCAGAGTGCGAGGCCACGCATTGCAAATAACCTACAAACAGAAATAAAGTTCTGTTAAAGAGGAAAAGAAAGTCGAAATGATTGGGGTCACTCACATAGAGTCTATCTTGCCTGAGACATGAATAGGCCAGTTATCTCTTTGACTATATACCATTTGGTTCATCCGTGAGATCGGCCCACCAACACGTGTTGCTTCAGGTGGATCGATGGGGCCATAGTTGATTGTTCCACACGAGACGTGAGCCTATGCATTTCACGGATGCTTAGTGTTGGGTCAACCGGTGGCGATAAGAATTGCTTTGGACGATTAAGCTACTGGTTGTGCATGTGTATGCGGATTCGGTGAACATGTCGACAAAGATACGGTAAATACCTGCACCCGTGTGTTTCAATGAGTTACGTAACCTGATTGCCTTGATCTCATGAGTGTGGGTCTTAAGCACGCGGAGGGAGATCCGGGTGGAACCCGAAGGGTTGATTCTACTCATCTCTTACCTCACAGTGACCTCGTTGGTATCAGGAAAGTCTAAGTGACCGGATGATGTCGCGTCGGAGAGATCACCGGCACGTCCTGATGCAAAGGCCAGTTCGGGGACATTTCACAGGTGAAGCTAAAAACTGAATATGTTGTGTACAACATAAGAGTAATTTCCGTCTCAAGTAAGTGTAATGTAATTCATTCTTATAGAAGCTGCACTCCAGTAGCCAGGATTACTACAGCTCGCAATAAGGACCAAAATGTATATCCTTCAGTGTGTTTGATCGATAATCGGTAGAACAAAACCTCAGAACGGTATTACTAGAAAATGTGTGCATCGTCTTACCTCAAACGTTCATTCAACTTCAGGAGACGTGGATACCTGAAAGAGTGCGAGCAATTCCTGAGATTATTCGCAGTTACGTATCATTTTACCACAAGAGACCTGACTTCACGAAGAGGTGGATGACGCACCTGCATGGGTAGAAGGGTTCAATTTTCATCGGGTTGATCGCGGTTGCGCCCGCTGCAACCGCGGTACTGGAGTTCACATTTGCACCAACACTTTATGGTGTATATAAACAAAAGTTTTGCATCTCTTAATCTACTAGTTGTTAAATTCTGAAGTGCAGAGCAAGCTCTAACAGTGCACACCGCCCTAATTGGCTATCATCTAGATATCACCCATCTGCCCGAACGAAGAAGATTAAGAACGTGACGATGAGCTTACTATCCCTGCCATAGAACTCATCGATTGTTCACTATGTATTTTTGCCTGTGGTCTTAACCGACTTGCCATTAGTTTTTTCACCAGTCCTTGACAGCAAAATATCCTAAATTGCCTTGCTTGATAACGAGACTCTGAAACTGATATGTGTCAACAACGCGAAGGCTTTTACTGTATGTAATAGAGCGCAGCTTGGCAGCTCTGATCACAACAGTTAAATTGTCCTAAAGTCTACTCTAAGACAAACCGCAAGGTGGCTACTCGTTACCAAATTCAGGTGGGGGCGGTGTTCCGATTAGAGAATTAACAGATTGCGAGTTGTTTCTTCTTTGTGACACTGATTTGTCCACCTATTGCTATCAGTTGACAAGCTACCTGAAGTTATGTGCTAACATATGCTGTCTATGCGAAACTGTTCATTCGTCTGGACAGCTTCCCTACCCCAACTAAAGCGGCTGCTTTGACAAAAGGAAAACGTTTTCAAACGCACAGTACCTTTGTAAAGTCACTCTGTCCTCATAAAGGAGGAGTTGTGCCGTCTCAAAAGCGTTTACGTTCAGACTATACTTGGGAATAGTACCTGCTGTTAACTCTGGAGGATGTTAAAACAACTTAGCGGACATACTGGACGTAAATCAATCTCCGACGCAGATATGAAGAAACCGAAACATGAGTTCTACAACTGCCACAAAAATTCGATCTCTGACTCAAACTTTGCATACTCATTGCCCCCGTCGACAGCGACACCATACAAAGTTACTGAAAAAGCTTCACTCGGGGAAAGCAAGTGCGCCGGATAGAATGACTCCCATTGTCCACAGGAAATGTGCTGACTTTGTGGCCAAACCTCTGGCTACTTTATACACATTACGCCTTCAATAATATAAAATTGTCTACCGCTGAAGAGGCGTCAGTCTCATACCAAAAGATGACTGAGGAAAATCTCGACCAATCGCTTGTAATTCGGTAGCCTTAAAGGTGTTTGAGAAAGCATTGTTGTGAAGATGATGAGACAAAAGTGGCCGCGCCATGTAAACGTTAGGTTCACAAAAGTCAACACATTGTCGTTTAACGCCTCACGCTTGTGGACTTCCTCTTTCCCCCATGACTTGACATTTCGTTCTGTCATTACCTGTATTCTTCCACAATGGACGTATTACTCACCTAAGATTTTTCCTAATTCATTAAGTAAAGGCCTCAGATTAATCCCCAGATCGTTAAAACATCCGTTACAACGTAGTAGTGTATCAAAACTGACCTGTGTTGATATGCTTCCTCCATACATGTTGGTTTTTGTAGGAGAATGGCGTTAATAATATGTACCAACAAATGCCACGCTCTTCATTGTGGATTGTCGGAATGCGAGTCGTCAACCAGATAAATCCATGCGCGCCTGAACGCGAGCTTACCGTCTGTCAGTTATCCCTTACCTGGCGGAAATTTTACCTGGCCAAAGAAGTTATTCAAGAACTAAGCAGCCAGGTTACGCTATGATAGTATTGTTTTTAGCTATTTCATTAGGTCACATTTTTGAATTGCATTTATATCATGCTGAATGACTGAAAGCGTATGTGTTCCGACTGAATATTCACACATTTCGGGTGCGTTAGCTCCTCTCTTAACTTAACTACAGAAAAATAGAACTTTTTAAGTCTGTATGTCAGCTTGATTGACAGGCTGACTTGTCGAAGTAGCATAATCGAGTTCAGTTTGTGAATTTGCCACTTGGTACTACATTTTCCTAGGTAAGGTTAGGCTAAATGTATGTAATTTGAGATAACGGCGTACGAGTCAAGACCATGAGCTCACTGAACTGCATCATGCCCACGCACGAATGCAGTCTTCAGGTGCTGTGAGCGCAGGATGCGATTAGCAACGGAAGGTTTATGCAGATCTGCGCAGATGGGCGTCCATAAAATATTCGCTTGAGCAATTAGCGCAACGAATGGACATGAAACTGATGAGAAGCCATGCGGATTTTGATCCGCCACCAGATGTCGAGGCCAAAAGTTGCGTTTCAATAATGATGTGACAGCGCAACGAAATACGCGTAGGTTCTCCAACGCCACCTCGAGAACCAGGTTTACAGCTGACCTCTGTGTCAGCTTCACTTCTACACAATCGTGAGTCAACAACTCAGGGACTGGATACCGAGATCGAATATTTACTACTACGTGTGCCAGTTTTCTTGCTCTTGTCAATCAAGTTATATTAGAAGGACAACCAGGCAACTGTCTGAGACAATCCTGAAGCAATGACTGGGTTAGCTCTACAACGCTGTGGGAAAGACTGTAGGAAGTGCCCTGCTGTGGTACTTGGTCGACTTGAATCACCAAATCAACGTGCCAGAGGCCTTCCAACTGATCTACCGGATATCTGAACGCCATACCCGAGCATTCCAATGTCGCCTATTTAGCGACACAGCCGAGACGATCCGCTACTCGGTTTCATAATCCCAACTTATGCGACCCAAGAAGCTTGTCCAAGCTCATCTAGTTACCCTGGCTCCAAGCCAACCCCGTGGCCACGACGAATGAATTTCCAAACACCCCACCATCAACGTCACTCCAGCCTGTGCTATCAGTTACTCACAGTGCCCGATAATACGCTTTTTCGATACACTTCATTTAAATGACCCTGTGCTAATTGTATTCCTATTTCGTTGTGATGCAAGAGTGTGATCAGAACCACGGAAACCCAAGCTTGCACGCCCTAGCTGCCTTTTACTTCTGAAACCACTAATTGTATGACAATGCAAGTTTGCCAAACCACTATGATGTGCAACGTTATCGTTTCTCGTCTGCCGAACCACCCTCCACAATTCGGTCTACCGCCAGTAATTCCCCGCCCATATTTTCGACCATCGGTGAACAACCTGGAGCTTTCATGCTTCAATGATAAAGAATGTTGGTACGATGAAGTTCATCGAAAGGCATTGTTGAAAAGTGCGGATTGATAGCGTAAATTCACGTCCATCGGTTGTTACGTCAACATCGACCAGATTCAGCTTATATGCAGCACACTATTAGAGAAGAGGATGAGATTCATCGAAGTGGTGAACAGTTACCTCGACTGCATCTGGCGCCGAACTCCAATATCCAACGGAAATTGCATACCACCAGAGTGTGGATGTAGCGCGCTAGCGGTTGGTGCGTTGCAGTAGTCGCTCCTGATCATAAAAGCATGAGATGTCAAATAACTGCCTTGACTTGGTTCGCATGCCTACATCCATCCTTTCCGGCGATTTAAACGCTCCCCATTCGGAGCAGAACTACGAAAGCAGTCCCGTGCGTGTGAGTTCACTAGCGTTGGCATCATACACGATGTAGTACAGTAACATGCAAACCAGTACTGCGAATGTGCGAGACTATTGATTTTAACCTGAACCTGCCTCTCACACTACACATACAGCTTTACTTCAGTTGCGAAGAAGCAGTATTTCAGAAGACACCATTGTGAACCCTAAAAACCGGAGGGGAGTCTTCACACAACGTAGCGTCAAATAGGCGGGACTGGGGTATTAACAGCTCTCTGAGACTTACTGTACTAACCAATAACTAAGGTTTCCACAATTGGTCGAGTATCCATGTTGAAAATTCAGACCAGTGTGTCAGCAACAAGTCTGAATGAGAGGATTGTCCTGTTCTTCGAGCCGTGTATTTCGCTTGCAGACGTTTCGTTACCAAACTAGGCAACATCTTCAGTGCGGCTAATCAGTCCTGATTCGCCGTCTAGCAAACCAATGTCAGATTCGAGTGGCATTGGTTTGCAAGACGGCGAATCAGGACCGAATAGCCGCACTGAAGATGTTGCCTAGTTTGGTAACGAAACGTCTGCAACCGAGATGCACGGCTCGAAGAATAGGACAATCCTCTCATTCAGACTCAATGCTAACACACTTGCCTGAATTTTCAACATGGACACTCGACCAAGTTTGGAAAGTTTGGGTATTGGTTAGTACAGTAAGTCTCAGAGGGCCGTTAATACCCCAGTCCCGCCTATTTGGCGCTACGTTGTGTGAAGACTTCCGGCAGGTTTTTTAGGGTTCACAATGGTGTCTTCTGAAATACTGCCTCTTCGCAACTGAAGTAAAGCTGCATGTGTAGTGTGAGAGGCAGGTTCAGGTTAAAAGCAAAAGTCTCGCACATTCGCAGTACTGGTTTGCAAGTTGCTGTACCACATCGTGTATGATGCCAACGCTAGTGAACTTACATGCACGGGACTGCTTTCGTAGTGCTGATCCGAATGGGGAGCGTTTAAATCGCCAGAAAGGTTGGATGTAGGCATGCAAACCAAGTCAAGGCAGTTATTTGACAGCTCATGCTCTTATCATCAGGAGCGACTACTGCAACGCACCAACCGCTAGCACGCTACATCCACATTCCGGTGGTATACAATTTCCGTTCGATATTGGAGTTCGGCGCCAGATGCAGTCGAGGTAACTGTTCACCTTCACTTCGATGAATGTCATTCTCTTCTCTAATGGTGTGCTGCACATGAGCTGAATCTGGTAGATGTTGACGTAACATAACCAATGGACGTGAATTTACGCTATCAATCCGCACTCTTCAACAATGCCTTTCGATGAACTTCATCGTACCAACATTCTTTATCATTGAAGCATGAAAGCTCCAGGTTGTTCACCGATGGTCGAAAATATGGGCGGGGAATTACTGGCGGTAGACCGAATTGTGGAGGGTGGTTCGGCAGACGAGAAACGATAACGTTGCACATCATAGTGGTTTGGCAAACTTGCATTGTCATACAATTAGTGGTTTCAGAAGTAAAAGTCAGCTAGGCGTGCAAGCTTGGTTTCCGTGGTTCTGATCACACTCTTGCATCACAACGAATAGGAATACAATTAGCACAGGGCATTTAAATGAAGTGTATCGAAAAAGCGAATTATCCGGGCAATGTGAGTAACTGATAGCACTGGCTGGAGTGACGTTGATGGAGGGGTTGAATTCATCGCCGTGGCACGGGGTGGCTTGGAGCCAGGGTAACTGATGAGCTTGGACAAGCTTCTTGGGCGCATAAGTTGGGATTATGAAACCGAGTAGCGATCGTCTCGGCTGTCGCTAATAGGCGACATTGGAATGCTCGGGTATGGCGTTCAGATATCCGGTAGATCAGTTGGAAGGCCTCTGGCACGTTGATTTGGTGATTCAAGTCGACCAAGTACCACAGCAGGGCACTTCCTACAGTCTTTCCCACAGCGTTGTAGAGCTAACCCAGTCATTGCTTCAGGATTGTCTCAAACGGTTGCCTGGTTGTCCTTCTAACATAACTTGATCGACAAGAGCAAGAAAACTCGGCACACGTAGTAGTAAATATTCGATCTCGGTATCCTGTCCCTGAGTTGTTGACTCACGATTGTGTAGAAGTGAAGCTGACACAGAGGTCAGCTGTAAACCTGGTTCTCGAGGTGGCGTTGGAGAACCTACGGGTATTTCGTTGCGCTGTCACATCACTATTGAAACGCAACTTTTGGCCTCGACATCTGGCGGCGGATCAAAATCCGCATGGCTTCTCATCAGTTTCATGTCCATTCCTTGCGCTAATTGCTCAAGCGAATATTTTATGGACGCCCATCTGCGCAGATCTGCATAAACCTTCCGTTGCTAATCGCATCCTGCGCTCACAGCACCTGAAGACTGCATTCGTGCGTGGGCATGATGCAGTTCGGTGAGCTCATGGTCTTGACTCGTACGCCGTTATTTCAAATTTCATACATTTAGCCTAACCTTACCTAGGAAAACGTAGTACCAAGTGGCAAATTCACAAACTGAACTCGATTATGCTACTTCGACAAGTCAGCCTGTCAATCAAGTTGACATACAGACTTAAAAAGTTCTATTTTTCTGTACTTAAGTTAAGAGGGGAGCTAACGCACCCGAAATGTGTGAATATTCAGTCGGAACACACACGCTTTCAGTCATTCAGCATGATATAAATGCAATTCAAAAATGTGGCCTAATAAAATAGCTAAAAACAATACTATCATAGCGTAACCTGGCTGCTTAGTTCTTGAATAACTTCTTTGGCCCGGTAAAACTCGCGCCAGGTAAGGGATAACTGACAGACGGTAAGCTCCTGTTCAGGCGCGCATGGATTTATCTGACTGACGACTCGCATGCCGACAATCCACAGTGAAGAGTGTGGCATTTGTTGGTAAATATTATTAACGCCATTCTCCTACAAAAACCAACCAGTGTGGACGAAGCATGTCAACACAAGTCAGTTTTGATACACTACTACGTTGTAACGGATGTTTTAACGATCTGGGGAATAGTCTGAGGTGTTTACTCAATAAACCAGGAAAAATCTCACATGGGTAGTACGTCCAGTGTGGAAGAATACAGGTAATGACAGAACGAAGTGTCAAGTCATGGGGGGACAGAGGAAGTCCACTAGTGTGAGGAGTAAAACGATCATGTTTGACTTTTGTGTACGTTCTTTTACATGGTACGGCCACTTTTGTATCATCATCTTCACAATAATGCTTTTTCAAACACCTTTAAGGCTATCGAACTACAAGCGATTGGTCGAGATTTTCCTCAGTCATCTTTTGGTATGATACTGACGCCTCTCCAGCAGTAGGCAATTTTTTATTATTGAATGCGTAATGTGTATAAAGTAGCCAGAGGTTTGGCCACGAAGTCAGCCGATTTCCTGTGGACAATTGGAGTCATTCTATCCGGCGCACTTGCTTTTCCCGAGTGAAGCTTTTTCAATAAGTTTGTATAGTGTCGCTGTCGACGGGGGCAATGAGTATGCAAATTTTGAGTCAGAGATCTGATTGTTGTGGCATTTGCAGAAGTCGTGGTTCTGTTTCTTCACATCTGCGTTAGAGGTTGATGTACATCGTATATGCCTGCTTAGTTGTTTTAATATCCTCCAGAGTTAACTGCAGGTACTATTCCCAAGTATGGTCTGATCGCAGACGTTTTTGAGACGGCACAACTCCTCCTTTATGAGGACAGTGACTTTACAGAAATGTTGTGCGTTTGAAAGCGTTCTCCTTTTGTCAAAGCAGCCGCTTTAGGTGGGGTAGGAAAGCTGTCCAGACGAATGAACAGAGTTTCGCATAGACAGCAAATGTTAGCACATAACTTCAGGTAGCTTGTCAACTGATAGCAATAGGTGGACAAATCAGTGTCACAAAGAAGAAACAACTCGCAATCTGTTAATTCTCTAATCGGAACACCGCCCCCACCTGAATTTGGTAACGAGTAGCCACCTTGCGGTTTGTCTTAGAGTAGACTTTAGGACAATTTAACTGTTGTGATCAGAGCTGCCAAGCTGCGCTCTATTACATACAGTAAAATCCTTCGCGTTTTTTACAAATGTCAGTTTCAGAGTCTCATTATCAAGCAAGGCAATTTAGGATATTTTGCTGTCAAGGACTGGTGAAAAAACTAATGGCAAATCGGTTAAGACCACAGGCAAAAATACATAGTGAACAATCGATGAGTTCTATGGCAGGGATAGTAAGCTCATCGTCACGTTCTTCTTCTTCTTCGTTCGGGCAGATGGGTGATATCTAGATGATAGGCAATTTGGGCGGTGTGCACTGTTAGAGCTTGCTCTGCACTTCAGAACTTAACAACTAGTAGATTAAGAGATGCAAAACTTTTGTTTATATACACCATGAAGTGTTGGTGCAAATGTGGACTCCAGTACCGCGGTTGCAGCGGGCGCAACCGCGATCAACCCGATGAAAATTGAACCCTTCTATCCATGCAGGTGCGTCATCCACCTCTTCGTGAAGCCAGGTCTCTTGTGGTAAAATGATACGTAACTGCGAATAATCTCAGGAATTGCTTGTACTCGTTCAGGTGTCCACGTCTCCTGAAGTTGAATGAACGTTTGAGGTAAGACGATGCACACATTTTCTAGTAATACCGTTCTGTGGTTTTGTTCTACCGATTATCGATCAAACACACTGAAGGATATACATTTTGGTCCTTATTGCTAGCTGTAGTAATCCTGGCTACTGGAGTGCAGCTTCTATAAGAATGAATTACATTACACTTACTTGAGACGGAAATTACTCTTATGTTGTACACAACATATGCAGTTTTTAGCTTCACCTGTGAAATGTCCCCGAACTGGCCTCTGCATCAGGACGTGCCGGTGATCTCTCCGACGCGACATCATCCGGTCACAGACTTTCCTGATACCAACGAGGTCACTGTGAGGTAAGAGATGAGTAGAATCAACCCTTCGGGTTCCACCCGGATCTCCCTCCGCGTGCTTAAGACCCACACTCATGAGATCAAGGCAATCAGGTTACGTAACTTATTGAAACACACGGGTGCAGGTATTTACCGTATCTTTGTCGACATGTTCACCGAATCCGCATACACATGCACAACCAGTAGCTTAATCGTCCAAAGCAATTCTTATCGCCACCGGTTGACCCAACACTAAGCATCCGTGAAATGCATAGGCTCACGTCTCGTGTGGAACAATCAACTATGGCCCCATCGATCCACCTGAAGCAACACGTGTTGGTGGGCCGATCTCACGGATGAACCAAATGGTATATAGTCAAAGAGATAACTGGCCTATTCATGTCTCAGGCAAGATAGACTCTATGTGAGTGACCCCAATCATGTCGAATTTCTTTTCCTCTTTAACAGAACTTTATTTCTGTTTGTAGGTTATTTGCAATGCGTGGCCTCGCACTCTGGATTGCCTTTTTTGCCTGCTGTGCCATGGGGACCTGGGCAGCATCCACCGCGGCCGCTGGGTCCAGTGAGTTGAGACCAACATAATTTTCTCACTTTTCTTGTAGCTAGTTGTCGGTTCGCTTACTGAACAGTATACGGATTGTTGCCTTTTTTGGAAGTGCTTATATTGAAAAGAGAAAAACCGTTATGTACAACATGCAAACACTGTTATTCACCCTCTTGTTTTACTGCGAAGATCATTTATGTGGTTGTAAAATTAATCTGGCCATGCTCACAGCAATGTGGTTAATGCTCATTTGTGTCTAGGCCGGTTCCGCGTCAAATATCACTCCCATTTACATGGTTCACAATATTACGCCTTGCGTTTCACACCGGACAGTGTCTTTCCTTGTAAATGTGCACAGTTAGACTTGTAGGACACTTCGGTGGTGTATGACACCAGTCCATGCAGTCTACTAGGCAATTTTTTACACTTGCGTAGATTTTTTTCAGGGGAACACACTTCTATGCACCATGTACCGTTGACACTTTACCAGAAAGCTTTTCGATAACCTGCTTCGAAATAAACATGGCTGTCCATTAGGGATTTACAGGAACCATAGCAGCAACTGTGATTGATTTCTTATCCAAACATACTGTCATGTCGTATTGACTAAAGCGTAGCAGCTATGATCACCATGAGAAGTGTTGCTAGGAGACAGTTAATAATGAAAACATTGGGCGAGACGTATGCCTGTGTACAAACTGCTAGCTAAAGCTCGTCTTTATTCTTATCTAGCATTTAAATAACTATTATACTTTAGCAGGCGCATTGATTTGTAACGGCATTTATGCTCTGATTAGTCGAACGCCGACCTATAGCTATTGGGACTGCTTAGCAAGTACTGCCCTCATCGGCAACGTCATTGCTACAATAGTCTTGTAACTACAATCACTTCACTCTCCTTTTGTCTACCTAAAATATGAATGTTACTCCACCTTACAATCTGATGTTCGTCTCATCAATACCGGAACTGCTAATTTATGCCCAAAATTAAACGGGTTGCTTAATATTCGCATGTTGGGTTACAGTAACTTCTTGGTTCCTTTGGTGCTGTCAGATTTTGATCACCAATCGGGATCATTTGTATTCGCCCTTCAGTGATATCTATGTCAGCATAGAGAAACGCGATAACCCTTGTCCCCAGTCGTATCCTGTTTCTGACTTCTGTCACCAACGTTTGATCACAATACTATTCTGATACTAAGTATCATTTCTGTTCGATTGTAGCACCCGCTGCCGCATCCACCGTGGCTGGCACCGCTGGTACGACCGCAGCATCCACCGGTGGGTCTACCATGGAAGCGGCCGCGACTACGGCTGCGCAGACGACGGCGCCTATGTCTACTGCGGGTGCGCAAGGTTCTACACCGATGACCACTGAGGGTGCAGCTGCGGGGACTACTGCAGCGAGCGGGGCTACCACTGTAGCAGGAACTGGCGCAACCACTGCGGCTGCTGCGACTACGGCAGCTGGTGAGACAACAGCAGCCGGTGCTACCACTGCGGCCGGTGGCACTACTGCAGCTGGCGAGACTACCGCAGCTGGCCAAACGACAGTCGCATGAATTGGCGATGAAATGGCAACAATGAAGACATAGGACTCTAATAGGCCTGGACAATTACAAACAACTCCCTTTGACTTCTGCTCTTCATTTTTCCGGATGAACCATCTGTAACATTTTTCTTTAAACCCTTATATAACAGTTGATAAAACTGTTTTACACTATTGTCCTGCTAGGATTGTCCTTCTTAAGGCTCTTTTGGTATTTTAGTGACTCTTGAACTACATGACTGACGACGTGTGACTTCTCTCATTAGGGCATTTGTTTTGGATGCGGGAGTGGGGGTTACTTCGACATATGTATCAAGGTAGCTACTTTGGTAATGCGTACAAGTAGTTGTACAATATACCAAGAACAGCAGGACGAGTAATGCTAATAGGGCAAGTGCAAACAGAACGAATTCATTCCATAAATCACTTTATTTCCTCTAAATACTATCACAGCCAACAAGTTTCCAACTTTTCAATACGTCTGCGTCCCGTGACGTTCGTGGAACCTATGTGTTTGACAACAAAACTGATTCAAAATTGCCGCTGCCTCTATTTTCTTTGCAGTCGGTTTCCATGATCTGATAATTGGCAGCCATGTGTAATTCGCCTGGGTTTGTGAAATGATCCGTTCTTCTGTAGAGTTGAGAAGTTTGCCCGTCTGATTTCAAATCGCATCACCAACGAATAGACTCTATTTGCCTCCACTTTCAATTACAAATATTATGTAATAAAGCCAAGATTGTTTTCATAGGCTGCAGATGTAGTAACAGGATGCGTCATGGAGGTTGCATCCCGTTAACCACCATCGTACCCCGACAACCCAAGGGTGTTCAAGGTTTGTACCACATGATTTTCTACCTACACTCGTCTAAGAGTGAAGTATTGATAGGTAGATTATGCAGTTATTCAGGTCATCCAAACTGCTCATTTGATTAGGAACTTCGACGAAGCTTCCATTTTCGACGTATACGATGCCGCTTTTGATAGCGAACTAAAGCCAATTACCGTAGAGACAGGCCACGAACGCGGAAAATGCCGATATCGTACCTTTCTTTTATCACCAGCATAAATGATTACTTCCGTTTAGCTAGGTAAATGACATCCAAAAACAGGCCGTAACTGCTGATGGCATAGTTGCTTGACCGTGGTATGTTGCTAAGAAGCAGGTGTAACACTGTTGGGTTGGGTAGCACCGCCTAGACTACTTAGTAAGCGAGACAAATGGTACCTTCTTTGTCAGTAGACTGAGCTTGCAAGTGCGTAGACAACTAGTCACGTGCTGAGCAGCGACTGTGTACTGAATGCATGGTCAAGCACATAGACTGGTTTGTACAGTGTGACGAGACGGTGCTGGTCGCATGCCGCTCCACGACAACTCTGCAGCAGAATGTTGGTTCGACCCGGTGTAGTTACTAGTGACACTATGTTGCATCCGTGCTAACCGTCCTCACCCCTGAGTAATGTATCGGGTGACGTCACTTATGGTCCTGATTCAGATAGGTTGCCTTATTCAACAAGTACTCGGTTCAGAAGCGCTACGGTCATACCAATGTGGACTGCCAAATGCGTTTATATATTCAAAATCGTCACGGCAATACGCGAACTAGGCTGAAACTGGAATGATGATTCGCGTGTATGCTTACCTACGTATGCCATCCACGGACCTATTGTACGTGCTAGTCTGTGAAGAGGATGCTGGTTCACTTACATTTGCTAGTATCCGATTTAGGATGTTCTTTAGCAAATTCGTCTCCACCAGGAATCCTCGCTGCCCTGATTGGACTGCTTCTGGGAAGTTCGGTAACTGTCTATTGTTCTGCTTCAGTTATTACCCGTTCATTATATATTAGCAATTGGACTCAATAGGTTATACTTTTCAAACCAGCACGAGCATATTGTAGCACATCACATCTGAGATAAGCGGAAGAACACCATCTCACCAGTCTGCTCAAGCGGAACTCGTACCCAAAGGGCTTCAGTCTACGCTGCCCCACGCCACGAAAGGCTCCACAACACTCCTCCACAAATGCAACAGTTGAAAAGAGAACCACTTCGCCCTATATCAACAGAATTTCTGAAATGGCAGCGAGGCATTTATTACCGTTTTGAGTCAAGATTGAACACCAACCAACGGTGACAATTCGTAGTAGCTCTTCAAAGTGAAAGATAAACTTAATAACTAGAAAACAACTGGTACGATAGCTAGGATCTGTTGCCGGAACTGTGACAGTCACTACGTGGAACAGACTGGATAAAAGTTTGACACTATGCTACGCGCACACAGCCATGCCATTCGTAGCCACGACCCGAACACCCAGATGTCCGTACACATGGATACCGAGAATCCCAATTCGGCCTGGAACACGCCATCATCCTCGGAAGAACCAAACGCAGGCAAGCATGTGAGTTCATTGGAGCCTGGCATTCAAAGTAGAACCCGATCGATAAGCATCTGGACCTCGAATTCGCTTACGATGCACTGCGAACCAGACCCCCGAAGCCGCACTGATGATGTTGGTTTGTCTGGCAACGAAACTGCAAAATAATCACTCAGCTCCGAGAACAGCTCAAAACCCGCGTTTCACGGACATCAAGGTTCGTGCTTACATGCACGGATGCTCTTCTCCCATTCTGCTAGGAGGCACGGCGTCTCAGGCGCCTGAACAGGGAGTCATTGAAAGTTAACACGCTCATATGCCATTCAGCTCTAATAGTCTCTTTTCACCTACTACTGTAAGCTGCCTAGTATTACTTCTTGAGTTCCACTAATGGAAGCTGACCTTGGTTGTTTGAAGCAGACCGAAAGGGTATCAAAGAGAGTAAACCAGTATTTCGGCCTCATTTGTAACACCTTCGGAAACTTCGATGCCTCAGTGCTTGGCACATAAGTGATGCCACATGCGTAATACGCTGTCCAAGCGTGGCAACCCTAGCAGACGCACCAGCTCACCGCGCTTGATACTACACAAAGCAGGGCGACGAAGAAGGTCAGATGTTTGTCCCACCTTCCCTACTCATTTTGGCTGAAAACTCGCAAAATGTACAGCGACGCTATCGGCGTCCACAGGAAGATTTCATAATGGTGTATCAGCTCTTAACAAGCCCTAACCACATATACCACCATCTTTTAAAATAGTAAAACATATCTCTGAGGGGCCATCAATTAAAGTTGGTCACGCAGTACAGCCGAACAGAACGTTGACGAAATGTTTTCCTTTTCCGAGTGTCACAGCCCTAGAACGCCGTCCCAGTACATGTACTTAGTACACTGACTACTTCCTCCGGAGCTGTTCAAGTATGGAGGCGCAGTTTTTAGTAACCAACTAAATTTATTGTTCTCCAAAATCTGGCTTGAAAAAAATTTGCCTTCTTCCTGGGATGAGTCAGTTATTGTCCCAATTTTTAAGAGGGTGTTCGTACTTCATACACCAATCACTGGGGGATTAGTCGCATGTCGGTTGCTTCCAAGCGATTGACATCCATTCTACTACGTAGACTATCCCCCATTCTTGAATCGAAGTACCGCGAAGAACAAGCTGCTTTTCGACCTGACCGCGGGTGTGTGGATCAAATATTCACGCACCACCAAATGCCGGAACATCTCCACCTTTACCAGTGACCTACCTTCGTTGCATTCGACTCGGCTGATCGAACTGCGCTATAGCATTGTTTGCTAAAAAGCGGGATTCCATAAACCTACAGTGCTATCCTGCTTGCACTCTACCTCCATAAATCCGGCAGGGTGAGGGTCTATGGCAGGCTTTTGCCTTCCTTCGCTCTCAATAGCGGTGAGCGACGGGGCTGCCCTATTGTAGGGCGGTGGAAGACTGTGACTACTCGTGAACCAAAAACATAACGACAACGGGATAGTAGAGAAATACCAACTGGTGCAATGGACGAAACAAGACAAGGCACTGCTAGCCTTGCGGACCGAGGCGACAACGGATCACGAGCTTTATTTGATAACGAGCCTGGGTCCAGAACAACGACGGAGGTATTTGTTGAGAACGCAAGGAATCAGCCAGATACGGCGCTAGCGAAGCCCATAAGACTGAACGCCGATGAAAGCAAACTCACCTTAATGTCTTTAGTATTTCATGAGTTTTGCGTCGACTGCGCATGGAGTCTTGTTTCTCCATAAACATAGCACGTTTGTCTTTTAAGCAAATACGAAGAAACTGAAATACGAATTGCGGCGTAGTGTTGTAACGTCAATGAGGGCAAGAAAGCTAGCAAAGTAATATTCAGTGGCAACGACGCGTTACTATATAACTATAACGTAGTGTGTAGAAAAGCAGATATTCCAAGGGTACACAAAAAAGACTGACAAATGTATGAAAAAGGTACTTAGATACGCTAAGTGCCAGTTAAGCATAAATAATTATTTTACGCTCGGTTATCTGTGGCGCACCTGCAAGGGCATGATTTTGATAAGAATACAAAGAGTGTCCGAGCATTGCAAAACTATAACAGGCTTGTCGTATTTGCGTGTTCATAAATGTATGTAGCTGTGTATGTGCATATGTGTGTAGCAGTGTTTCTAAGGTTTCTAAATGCTTTGATGAACTACTACGCTGTTTGATCGCGTTGTCAGTTTCAGAAGGGATCATTGAAGTCTGTGGATTGGATACAATTGTCCGGCGCCGTAAAATGCAGTGACGTTTGTTATTGAAGAGTCACCACTGCCACGCCGCAGCGCAGTTAAGCAAGAAGTTGTGACTTTTACGGTGCGATTGCTTGCCGGAAAAAACACTTCTTCGGGTTATCCTGCCTGCGAACTCTTTGACGATGCGTAGTGAACCCGAACCAACCAGCTATCAACACGAGGACGTTCCGTTAGACAGCGCGGGGGTTCACAGCGCCTTTTAATTAGCCCATATTCAAGAGGCTTCAGTATCCGTTGCTGTGATGATACTTGGCCAGACAAATCACTGTAACTGTAGAATTCACAAAGTTTCATACCTCCTATATTTTGTGATTACTGTCCTGAATTCACATGGGCCTGGTCCAGATGACTAATTAGGGACAGCTCAGAGTACATCTTGCCCTTATGAACCCAACGAACCCTCACAGTTCGTAAACAAATACTGCCTGATTTCTCAACTTACGTCAATCTTATATATTCACAGTGTTATCACTTTTAATATGCTACAGAAGTCTATCAGTATTAATAAGGCAATCGAAGTCCGAAAAATAGTAACAATTCGAACCGCGTAATTCATTGGAGCCTGCGTTGGTCTAGCTGTAATAATTGTAGTTTTA